TTACAAGACCTAGATAAAGTCGAAGAGCGGAGAGACATGGCCCATATAAGAATGATAGCCCAGAAACAGCAGATAGAGAGATACTACAATAGAAAAGCCAAAGTAAAATCACTAAAAGTTGGCGACTACGTCCTCAAGGCCAAAACACTGGCATCGAAAGACCCAAACGAGGGAAAATTGGGAACCAACTGGGATGGACCGTATAAAATCAAAGCAGCTGCAAACAAAGGAGCATTCCAACTGGAAACAATGGAAGGAAAATCACTCCAAAACAATTGGAACGTCGCCCACCTCAAATACTTCCACTTCTGAGAGGTGTCTCCTAAGCCGTACTCTTTTTCCCTCACCCGAGTTTTGTCCCAATTGGGTTTTCTCGGGGAGGTTTTTAACGAGGCAGCAAAAGGGATACCCCGTGGATCAAAAGCGCAATTCATCACCTCGATCCATCAACACGGTCTCTAGACCGAAGTAATGAAGGGACTACCCTAGTCGGTCTCCATTGTATACACAGAAGTCAATCTCCATTGTATACACAGAAGTCGATCTCCATTGTATAAACAGAAATCTCCATTATATGAATAGAAATCAATCTCCATTGTATATGCAAAAGTTTCGATCTCTATTGTATAAACAGAAGTCGAATCTCCATCGAAGTAATGTCCTAACGGCTAAGGCCATCGACAATGGTTCGAACCTCGACGGATACTACTTCGACGACAGTCGAAATAACGTCCTAACGGCTAAGGCCATCGACATTAGATTCGACCTCGTTCGACCTCGACGGATACTACTTCGACGACAGTCAAAGTAACGTCCTAACGGCTAAGGCCATCGACATTAGTTCGACCTCGTTCGAACCTCGACGGATTCTACTTCGATGACGGTCAAAGTAACGTCCTAACTGCTAAGGCCATCAAAATTAGTTCGACCTTGTTCGACCTCGACGGATGCTACTTCGACGACAGTCGAAGTATCGTCCTGACGGCTAAGGCCATCGATAATGGTTCGACCTCGACGGATACTACTTCGACGACAGTCAAAGTAACGTCCTAACGGCTAAGACCATAGACATTAGTTCGACCTCGTTCGAACCTCGACGGATACTACTTAGACGACAGTCAAAGTAATGACCTAACGGATAAGGCCATCGACATTAGTTCGACCTCGTTCGAACCTCGACGGATACTACTTCGACGACAGTCGAAGTAACATCATGACGGCTAAGGCCATCGATAATGGTTCGACCTCGACGGATACTACTTCGACGATGGTTAAAGAAACGTCCAAACGGCTAAGGCCATCGACATTGGTTCACCCTCGTTCGAACCACGACGGGTGCTACTTTGACGATAGTCGAAGCAACCTCCTAACGGCCAAGGCCATCGACATTGGTTCGCCCTCGTACGAACCACGACGAGTGCTCCTTTGACGACAGTCGAAGCAACCTCCTAACGGCCAAGGCCATCGACATTGGTTCAACCTCGTTCGAACCACGACGGATACTATTTCGACGATTATCGAAGCAATATCCTAACGGCTAAAGGCCATCAACATCAGTTCGATCTCGTTCGAACCACAACATCTTCTGAAAGGCAATATCATCGAAGATTAAGTGTAAAACAAACAATAAAAAGTGAGAAGCAACAAACAGACGAAGCGACAAAAACAAAAGTTTATATTACAACAAAAATTTATTTACATTCGTCCGCATGGACAGACTTTGGTACACCCCTCAGCCAAAAGAAGATGCGAAAGCAAAAATATACAAGCTTAAGACTAACCACCACCCCCTGTGGGATAAGCGTCCTCATACCACGAGTCTGAGTCAGGACGATCGACATCCTCAGAAGCAACATCCTCCCCATTGAGAGAGTCGGGGTAATACCCACACACTTCACGAGCTGTGCGTGCTTCATTTCGCACCACATGAACCTCCGCCTCCGTTGCTCGACCCTCTGCGTGTAAAGCTCTGTATATATCAAGCCGTGCCTCTGCATAGACCCACATCTCATGGGCGCTACGATGCGGGCCCCGACCAAATGGGGGACGAGACGAGGAGGGCCGAGAATGGTATTCCGCTTCCTCAGACCTCGGAGGGGCGACTTGCCTCTGCAGCGCGGTCAATTTGTCGGCATTAGCACTCAACTCGCCCTTAAGTCTGTCGATTTCCTCTATCCTAACACCAAGCTCGGCGGTCAGACTAGCTACCCTCTACTACAAGTCGGTATTCTCCGCAGCCACCCCTCGATTCAATTCGAGTTCATCATCCTTCGCCCTGAGGAGAGCCTCCAGCTCACTATTATGAGCAACGGCCCTCACTAGCTCCCCATCCGTCTCTTCCAGTTCTGCCCCCCCTACGTTCCAATTGGGCCTCTCTCTCCTTAAGCCCCTCGCGGAACACTTGGAACCCGGGTTCCTGTCGGTAGAGATCAGCCACCGCTCTTACCCCTGGGTTGACTCTTTCCTCAAGTACCAGCCTCCCCGAACGGATAGCATCGGCCATAAACATGGGTGTCGGGGCCGCCCAAGATGTTCCACCATCATTGGCTTCAGTAGCCACCCTATTTTCCATCTCCAGTCTTCTTATTTTTCTTTCCGGCGGCTCCTCACCATGAGAAGATTCGTCGGCGGGTTGTGGGGCCGACGTCAACAAAGTCGGTTCCCCTGTAGCCACAGCCGTGGGTGTAGCTCCCTGATGAGGTGTAAGAGAATGACCCTCCCAAATAAACTCGCATGGAGTATCTCGAGCATCCGCAGCGGTAGTAGGACGCACGGAAGCAGGGATTGTCGCCTTCTTCCTAGAAGCACCTCGACCTATGACCACAAAATCACGATTAGGCAAGGTCGTTTAACCGACAAAGCAAAATCGGAAGTTTACCCGAGGAAACTTGAGGGTCGTAACGTTGCATGAATGCAGGCCAAGTTCGGGTTTCCTCCGCGTGAGGAAGCAGGCCGGCAAACCCAGCTCCTTAGACCGGCAACGGGCTGGGGCGGACGGGCCATAGCTGTAATATAAAAGTTAGAATTGCGATAACAACATGCAACACAGAACTTGATGAACTACAGCACTTACGTGTTTTGTTCCATCTTTTTGGAAATCTGGTAGGGTTGGAGACCATATGCTCAGTCCTGACAAAGAAATATTTGTGCCAGAATTTACGGCTTGGCCGGTCGTCGGTTGCAACCACCAACCCCTTCGTACCACGAATCCTTAAGTGCACCATGGTCCCTCTANAGCTTTTCTCTAAGTTCAAAATGCACTCCGACACCTATCCAAAACTCACCCGGGCCCTCGGGGCTCCAAACCAAATATGCACACAACCTCAAAAATATCCTACGGACTTATCCGTGCGATCAAATCGCCAAAATAACATCATAAACATTTAATCAAGCCTCAAAACTCATGATTTCTTCCAAATTTTCATAAAACATCAATTTTCCATTTTAAGTCCGAAACACGTCAAATGACGTCCGTTTTCAACCAAACTTTACAGAAAGCGCTTAAACCATATATAAGACTTGTACCGGGCGCCGGAACTAAAATACGAGCCCGATACCATATTCTTTTAATCAAATTTCATTTCCATTTTCCTTAATTATTTCCAGAAAACAATTTCACACAAAAATTCATTTCTCGGGCTTGGGACCTCGGAATTCGATTCCGGGCATACGCTCGAGTCCCATATTTTCCTACGGACCCTCCGGGACCGTCCAATCACGGGTCCGGGTCCGTTTATCCAAAAAGTTGACCGAAGTCAAATTTATTCAACTTAATATCAAAATTTAGCATTTTCTCACAGAATTCATATTTAGGCTTTCCGGCTACGCGCCCGGACTGCGCACGCAAATCGAGGCAACCCTAAATGAGGTTTTCAATGCCTCGGAAGTACATAATGAGTAAGAAAACAAGTGATGACCCTTTGGGTCGTCACAACTCCCCACCCCATCCCGAAAACCTTTAAAATGCCACCATACTTGAAAATATACGACGGGACCATGGATCCAGAAGATCATCTGATTCACTATGTCACCGCGGTAAAAGGAAACGACTTGTCAAAAGAGCAAGTGCCATCCGTGCTGTTGAAAAAGTTCGGTGAAACTTTGACAGGAGGAGCGTTAACATGGTATTCTCAGCTACCAGCACGGTCGATATCAACATTCGAGGAGATGGCAGATAAATTCGCTACCGCTCATGCAGGAGCAAAGAAGGCTGAAGCTAGGGTCAACGACATCTACGCCATCAGGCAAGCGGCGAGCGAGGGACTTCGAAACTTCCTGGCCCGGTTTAACAGGGTAAGAATGGGACTGCCGAATGTATCGGAAGGAATGGTGGTCGTAGCCTTCCAAAACGGGCTAAGCAGAAGCGGGTCGAAGGCGACCAAGAAGTTACTCAACAGACTCATGAAGTGCCCTCCCACCACATGGGAGGAGATCTATAATGCCTACTGCGCCGAAGTAAGAGCAGATGAAGACGATCTCAACGGTCCAACCCAGCGACTAACGTCAGTACAGTCCGAGATAAGGAGAGATTGACGCAACGACGGACGAAGGGATCAGCTCCCACGCTTCACAGAGAAAGGCATCAGCCCTACGTCAGAACTCCTAATCCACCTCCCCCGAGGCATACAGACGTCGTGTCACGACATATCGCGCCCTTTCGAAACGAAAGAGGTATGCCCCCATTATTATCTGCTCATAACTTTTGTGTTTAACCTTCAGAAATAGTGTACGCACTAGAGAAGCTGGGCAAGAAGGTGCAGTGGCCACAAAAGATGAAATCGGACCCATGTGCAAGAAGGTCAAACGTCCTCTGCGAATTCCATCAAGAAAGAGGACACAAGACCAAAGACTGCATAGGTTTACGACAGGAGGTGGTCAGAATGCTGAACTAAGGATACCTGAAAGAACTGCTCAGCGATAAAGGAAAGGCTAACTTTGCCAGAGGGCGCGACCCATCTCAAGGACCACCCAGGCCACCGTCGCCGGCACGTACCATACAAATGATTATCGGCGGTGGCGACGACTCGGTGATCAACCACGTAAAGTTTACCATCACGCATAAGCTGAAGCGTACAATCGCTCACAAATGGTATGATGGCTTCGAAGATAGTATCACCTTCGAAAAGTCAGATGCTGACGGTTTGTCTTTCCCTTATTACGATGCTTTAGTCATAACATTACGCATAGCTGATACAGATGTGAAAAGAATCATGGTAGACGACGGAAGCGGCGCGTGTATTGTCCACCCGAGAGATCTCATGCGAATGAAGCTCGAGGAAAAGATAATACCACGTTGCATAACACTAACGAGTTTTAATAATGCAGTAGAGCGGACATCTGGAGAAATAGCACTGCCAGTCCTGGATGGGGGAGTCACGCTGGAAACTACCTTCTACGTCATGAACCAGGAAACCGCCTACAATGCTATCATAGGACGCCCATGGATACACGCCATGCGAGCCGTCCCCTCAAGCTTCTATTAGGTAATCAAGTTTCCCACACCATGGGGAATTTTCAGTATTCGAGGCGAGCCGCGTACCGCCCAAGAATGCTACAGGATCGCCCAAGATTAACGCATACCAAGTAGTTAAAAGGGGCAAGCGCGGAGGCATAGCAATCAGCCATGTCGGGAGCTAAAACCGACCTGCCAGCAGAAGTCATCATAGATCCCGAGTCATAGAAGCTTGCAAGGCAACTATTGAAGATCTCGACCCGATACACCTAGATGACGCCGACAATACAAAAAAGGCTTATATCGGACACAACCTCTCCGAGTCAGGTAAGTATCGTGAATTTTTGACTAACAATGCCGATCTATTTGCCTTCTCGCACTCAGATATGCCGGGGATCCCGAAAGACATCGCCACTCATAGGTTGAATGTCGATCCGCTCTATCCGCCCATGCAACAGACGAGGAGGAAATTCAATGCCGCAATCAACGAGGCGGGCAGTGAAGAAGTGGACAAATTACTGGCCAACTGCTCCATCAGAGAATCGAAATACCCCCAATGGGTCGCTAATGTGGTCATGGTCAAAAAAGAAAAACGGCAAGTGGAGAATGTGTGTGGACTTCACCGATCTGAACAAGGCATGTCCAAAAGATTCCTTTCCATTGCCCCATATCGACCAGCTGATCGACGCAACAACGGGAAACGAACTGCTGAGTTTCTTGGATGCCTACTCCGGTTACAACCAAATCCTAATGGCCGAGGAAGATCAAGAGAAAACAACTTTCATCACCCACCAAGGGACTTACTGCTATAATGTGATGCCATTCGGACTCAAGAACGCGGGGGCCACGTACCAGAGGTTAGTTACCAAGATGTTCAAGGAACAGCTCGGCAAAACCATGGAGGTCGACATGCTGGTGAAATAAACCAAGAAAGAAGACCATATCGGTCATTTGAAAGAAGCCTTCGAGATATTGAAGCGGTACGGGATGAAATTGAATCTAGAAAAATGCGCCTTCGGTGTAGCCTCAGGAAAATTTCTGGGTTTCCTTGTGTCACAACGAGGAATCGAGGTCAACCCGGATCAGATTCAAGGCCATAGACTCAATACCTGAGGTACTGAACAGTAAGAAACAGGTACAGAAGCTGACAGGGCGAATAGCCGCCCTATCAAGGTTCATTTCACGATCCTCGGACAGGTGCCACAAGTTCTTCAATGTACTGAGAAAAGATCATGGACTACAATGGAACGAAGAATGCATCGACGCCCTGAGGAAACTGAAAGCATATCTGTCCTCACCACCCCTGCTCGTCAAGGCAGACCCAGGCGAAAGTCTGCTCGTATATCTAGCGGTATCCGAAGTC